CCAAGATGATCCATTCAATAAGAAGCAACAAAGGAAATTGGTTCCAAGGACTTCTTTCCATGTATAAGGATTAAAAGATTTCTCAAGCTGGGAACGAAGCAGAGATTGATGAAAGAAGCATTACCTTCTTTAGACCTTTTAAAAGAGATCTTTAAAGGGGGATAAAAAGTTTTCCTCTCACAGAGCACTGTCAGCAGAAACAAGAGCTAGATTTACCTTCAGCAAGGTCAATTCTGATGGGAGGCAGGGGGGGAGAAAAAAAAAAACCCAAAACAATTAAAAAAAAAAAACCCAGAAGTAATACCTGTGCTAGGCCAGAGCCTCTGCCTTGGAAAAAAAGAATTTATTAAAAAAAAAAATCCCAAGAAACAGCATCCTACCTCCTAGTGAACAGCTTTTTAGAAAAAAAATAGCAGAACAATCTTCTCAGATTCTGCAACTCAACGTAACACAAAGAATATTCCCTGCATTGTTCTTCACTTACAGCTTCTTATATTTAATGCTGAGAATAAAGACCATCAATTCTTTTGAACACTGAATCTGCTGACAATTACCAAAGTGACTTCATAATTTTGCCCGTTTCAAAGGTAACCAAGATCTCATCTTGCATGAAAATGAGTTTTTCATGAATAGGAAAACAATGAGAAGAGAAACCAAGTAGGAAACTGTTTCCTTGAAGGCATTTATAGCAAACAGCATGCAAGTGTTAGCTTATCCACATCCATAAATGCAAAAAAAAAAAAAAAAAAGGGTTGATGTAAGAAGAGAGATCAAACTTTTTCCAGAGGAAGAATATGGATCTATTTTCAAACCTGCTGCAGGAATACCTGCTGTTAAGATTCCTAGTATCGTAAGGCAAAGGTCTTATGCCATTAATTAGAATCTGCTTTACTTAGTATAAAACATGGCCACCTTCAGTGTTTGAAAGAAAGAATTCTATAGGCAACAGGATCACCCAGCACTAGGGAGATGGCAATTTCTTCAGTTCAAGATTTCATTAGCCTTGGAACCAAAAATGTTCAACAGCAAGGCCAGTTAGCACCCTTACTGTGGTTAACAAGTAGTTTAAGAAAGACAGGCCACATGGCAGGTAGGCCCATATAAGGAGGATTAAGCCATTCTGCACCTGAAGCAGCCCTATTCACATTCTCCAAACCGAGAAGCCCACCACCATGGCCAGAGCCAGAGGAACACCCTTTTGCCCTTAAGAAAGGCAGATTCTAGCACTTTGGAAACCGGCTGGATCGCTGCTTAGAAGATACTACTTTCACACCATTTCAGTCTTTGGTAAAATCACACTTTAAGGAAAGCTCAAAGCTCAGGAGAGTCACTTCACAGTTTGGTAAGCCTTTTTAAGATAATACCTTCTCATCTCAAATTCTTCTAGAGCATCTGGTACAAGCTGATCTTTGAGCAACCTCACATACGCTCCAAGACTTCCCTGAGATTGACTGTGGGGCTGTTCTCAGAAAACTGCAGTAAGACACGGATGTTTATTCATATGAGGACCAGAAAACTTAACAAGAAAAATGCTTCAAATTCCTTCCTGATTCTGAAAGGCAAACTAGAAAGAGATGGTTGAAAAAACAAAATCTATAGTAAGTTTTCATGTGAGAAAAAACAGGTGAGTTTATGTGAGAAGAGGAAATGCAGGGTGGGTTACTTATGCCACTCACTACCTCTGCATCATGGTTTGATGGTCTATGGCCTTTGACTAGAAGTTTAAGTTTCTTATTTCCATACCAGGATGCTGCATAAGCAACAGCAGAGCCAGATCTCTAAATAAACGGAATCCATACCACTAAGTGAGTTGAAATATTTTAAATTTGGTGCACATTTGCCCTCTGGGGGTATTACAAACATTTTACATAGGTTTTGAGTTACAGCACATAAGAATTATAAAATATGTTGTTTGCAAAGAATGCATTACATACATGAATTGTTCACCTCCAGGCTCACGACCCTTCATATCCCATAAACCCAGTCTTTCCTCACCCCAGACCAAACTGAAGGCCTAGATTCCCCTATGCTTGTACACACATCCGTCTACCCCCTCCTTTCAGTTTGCACATCTGCTTTTCCAGGACACTAACACCAATGAACTGCACGTCAGAGGGAACAAACAGAAAATGCACTTGCAAAGCAAGAGGGAGGTGAAGAAAGAACACACACAACAAGAATCGGATCAGCTGTCAGGGCCAGAAGGCTCCTGTCAGGCAGCGGGGCAGAAGAGTCCAGTTCAACAGAGCTTTTCCACTGCCTGGGGATGGCTTCTGGCAGGTACAACTCTGAATACCCTGAGTGACATCTTCCTGTGGCCGTAACCCTCTCCTAATGAAAGGGAGGACATACTGCTTCCAGAGAGGAATACAGCACTACAGTTTGCTACAACAGGATAAACAGGTTAAGGAAAAAATAACGCTAGGAGAAAGCCTATTCCATTATTTGTGACAGAGGTGAGAGAGAAAGACGGATTACTCCTAGGGATGTAACGCAGAAGAGCCCAGCACTCAGCAAGGACCCCTGTTACTGTGTTTGCCTAAGACATATGGCAACAAAGTGCACACAAGAAAACGGTGTGGGCCCCTGAAACGTTCAGAGTCTTGTAAGAAGATTAAAAACGTACCCAGAGAGAACAGTGGAGAGCACTGAAAGGCTACATATTAAATCTCATACACAGAAAGTATTTCTTACAGCCTTAAATAGGAAGGATTAGGAAGAAAATTTTAAAATCAAATTAAGAGATTGTGAATCTGAGTGACAAGAAAATTAGAACAAGATGGCAGAAGTTGGATTAAGGATGATGTAGATTAAAGGCCACGTTTTGAAGTGAGATTCAGAGAGCTCACCATGAACCCAAGAACTATTTTAAAGTTTGTGGCAGAAGAACACGAACCTGGAGCAAAAAGGAAGCTCTTCAAGACTCTAGAAGAAAGTCACAGGGTTACCAAAAGCTACCCAAAGACATGGCATCCCAGGATAAAGGGAAGGTAAGCACAGCCGAACTTCAGTGAACCCCACACAAAAAGCAGGGAGTAATGAACAGCCCCTGCAAAAAACAGTGGCAAGAAAGGAGGTAATCAAAAGAGGACACAGACCGAAAACAAAGCTGGAAAAAACACTTCAAGAGCAGCACTGCTGACAGTGACAAATGTAGCTGGCAGGGAAAGGAAAATGAAGTACTGGATCTGAACCTTAGCTAGGAAGAGAGCACCGTAAACACTCGCCGCGATTGTAGTAGAGCATAATCGAAGCCACAGTGGAGGACAAGAGCCCCAGACAATGCACTGAAAGCATTCTGAGATGAAAAAAGGAAAAGGAAATTAAGAGGTAGTTGCAAAGGCAAGAGAGGCCACAGGCATTCTGTACACTGCTTTTTTTAAAAAAAGAGAAATGCTCATGCCTACAGGTACTATGAGGGAAAAGAAAAGCTAGGACTTGAGCAAGTGATTAAAGGAAAGAGAGAGAAAGGACACAAGGTTCAAGGGAGATAAGGAGATGTTCTTGTACAGTGCCATAAGGGCAGATGAACGGGTTAAGAAGAAGAGGAAAAAAAAATTCTGCTTGTGACAAGGAGATGATCTAACGGTTGGAAGACAGTGATAAAGAGTATGGCGAAGCGTATGCGGTCAGAAAGTCATCAAGATCCCATGCAGAGAAAGAACTGGATGTCAAACAACATGCAAAAGCCATGTAAAAACATTGCGGCTAGCGGGCTGCTCCCTGTCAGCTCTGATTACAGCCTATCAGCAGCGTGTTTCTGCCGGGTGCAACCCCACTGCAGGTACAGGAACACAGAAAGGGCTGCCGGAGGACAACTCAAGCAGTTCAACAGCTTTATGGGGAGAACAAGGATCGTAAATCAAAGACACAGCCTGAACATTGGAAAAACGGCGAATCAAGCTGGGAAGATCCAAATTCAAAACACTGGTGAACTCCAAGAAAGCACGGCCACATTGCGAGCAGAAATCCAAACGGTGGTGGAGATCCCGAAAGAAACCTCGCCGTTACCAGAGACAAGAAAGTCGACAGTTGCATCAGCACAAGCATGCAGGCACGGCTCAATGAAAACCAAATGAAATTAACTGACTTTGTTTAACGAGGGGCTAGGAACAAGAATGCTGGCCAAATCAAGTTAGGGCAAAGAAGCATGTAATTACTGTCAAAGAACAGCGAGTGAGAATGCAGAACAAGCCAGGAATCAAACCTGAAGAGAAAAGCTCATGGGGAGAAAAAGAGCACGCTGTACGTAACAATACAGAGCCCAGAGAAGATAAAAACTGGACTCCAACACTGTTCAGAGATGAAAGAAGCTGAAGGCAACAGGAAAAAGTAGCCAGGTGCCTCTTCCATGGCGTGGCCCAGCACTGAAGGCATAATGCAAAAGGCAACCATAAACCAGAGCACTGATGGTGCCAAAGAAAGCCACGTGACCGTGGGTTGAAAGCATCGCCTCATGTCTCAGAAAATCAAGAATCGCAAGCCTCTCCATCCACAACCAGGTGGTTGTGAATAAAGTTCTCCCTTTGTCCCCGATTTCATTTTACATATTTCACAGCTGCTCTGTCATGCCCCCACCCTTAATCCAATGTTTGTCCACCCTCACTGAATTTTTTTGCCTAACGTTGTTTTCTTTGTTGCAATGTGTCTGCTGCCACTTGTCCTTTCACTGTAGGACTCCAGCAAGAGCCCTAGAGAATATTAAATATCTAACAGGACAGAACAAGGAGAAAAGAAAAAAATCACTGTAGTCATGAGAACGCCTCTGGATATCCCGAACTTCTAGTAGGTAACGAGCATCCAGCTTCTTGATGCCTGAAAAGTCTGTCTGATCAGGTGTGGCAGAGATCTAAACAGGGCCATCAAAAGGACATAACCAGAGATTTATTTAAGATGAAAGATGATCACTTAAGACATGATAAGAAGGAAAAACAGTATTCCAAACGGTATACATACAGCAGATGAAAACAAATCATTTTATAATGCAGTTAGGTACTCACCATCTCTCTCGCAATCTCCACAGCTTCCTGCAGCCCATAGAGCCTGCCACAGACCAGGTAGATCCCATTGGCCCAGAGAATACAACCCTCATGGACCCAAAATTCATTGCTGTCAAGAGGTAGTTCAGGAATTTGTAACTCCAGCTCAGTGCCACCTTCCGAAGTGGGCATAGAGGGTTTTGAGTCCAAAGGAGTCTTTTCACCACCACTGCCACCATCAGTGGTTGCTTTTTTACAAGAAGCTCCCCTTGAAAGTGACCGAGAGGCTCCACTACAGTCCTCGGAGCGGTGCCGCCTCTTAAAGCGGGGATGAGCAGCTAGGCTTCTTTGTTCCTTCTGTTGTTGCTGTTCCTCCTCCTCTTCCGTATCTGTCTTGGAACCGTTGGAAGCACTTTTGTGCCGTACCTTGACCTTGCTCTGCATTTCTGTGGCCCTCTTTGGAGGCGGGTTCTTGGGCAAGGTGGCTGCGTAATCCTGGGGGTAGAAAGGACCAAAGAGGTCACCCATGTTACGATAGCTGGCCCATTTGCCACACAGGCAGCAAACCAGATGCCCCAAGACAGAAGATTCTGTTACTACAGGGCCCTGCAGCATGAAAGTTGAGGTGGGCAGCACTTTGCTCTCCGCGTTGCTAGGAGGGGGCGTCGAAGACCTCTGTCCTTTCCGACCCCTCACCAATTTGTTCTGCTCCTCTTCCTCTGCATTAATGATTGTGCACACAGCGCCTAATTCACACTTGTTTACCACGTGGATATAAGGGAAAAAGGACTTATTCTTGGAGTCAGTTTTATCTACAGACTGGGTAGCGTATTTAAGCTTGATCTCTGGTTCCTGTGGCTCCACAATCGGAGCAGCCCGTCTAGGCTTCCGCTTCCGTGGCTGCGCTGCAGGTTTTCGCCTCTCCCTCCTTTGCCTCTTCGGTTTTGGCTCGCCACCACCTACCCCTTCCGAAGACTGCGAAGGTACTGGTGGGGGTGGCGGGGGTGGTGGCAGTTGCTGCTGCTGTTGCTGCTGCTGCTTCTTCTGCTTGTTCACACTCCCAATTGGCCTCCCCTTTTTCTTTCCAGAGGGAAAATATCCCTTCGGAGGGAAACCATCTGGCTTGGGTGAAATGTTTGTCACATCTCCGTCTTTTTCCTCAGGCTTCGGATTTGGTTCAGAAGTAAACACGCTGGAAGGAGAAATTGTTTTTGAGTCGGAAAAGGTCAGCGTTCCAGCCCCGCTTACAGATCCGTCAGACCTTCCCTGACCACCCGACTTCTGAGAAGGCGGTGGTGCTGCACTGGATACTGCTCCTTCTTTACCAACACTGGCAGTTTCAGGGACCTCTTTCTTGGTTTTATCATCCTCACTGCTTTGCCACTCTGCTGAAGATCTCGGAAGAGTTATTTCGCCAGCTGCGTCCTGGCTTGCTGGCCCCACCTGATCTGCCATCTCTCCTTTCCTCTTCTCAGTCTCTGGTCCATGTCCAGCTACATTTCCTCCTTCAGGTCCACTCTTTAGGGACAGGATGTCATCAAGAGTGACAGTATCCGCACCGGTTTCAGCACTGTTGGTAGAAACGCTTCTCCTAATATTGGGAGATGTAATTTTTTGAACGATAGCTTCCAGTTTTAATCCCCGCCCCTTTCTTGGGGGCAGTATTTTGGTCTTAGCCGGGCTTGTGAGGGAAACAGCAGGGCAGTTCCTATTATCAGGACTTGGCAGGTCCTTGAAGGAATCGCCCTTTGCAACTGACTTGCCAACATCTTGGCTTTGAGATGAATGGGCATAAGAGTTGTACGTTTTATCAGCTCCTTCTTTTGCTGAACTCATCAGTCGCCCTTTATCTTCACCGCCACTGTTCTTCATATCCTGTGGCTGTCTTTTGGTAGGGATAGGCGAGATGAAAGAACGGACTCTCCTCCTCATAATTAATGGATTTTGAGGAGACTGGTCTTCCTGGCCAGGGAGCCTGAGCATGGCATTACTAGGCTTGGGCAAATCTGTAGAATCCTCTCGTCGATGCCCATCGCTTTCTTGAGGGCAAAATCTTTTTTGGTTGGCTGCTCCGAGAGGGCCACTGCTTTTGGCAGGAGAAGTTTGCCGAGAGAGGTCCCAACCAGATTCGTGATGCTGCAGCTTCTGGTTGCCGTGTTTCAGTTCGGTGCACTTGCTCTGAGTACTGTCACTCCCCATAACACAGCGCCCAGCTTCTTGGCTTCCAGTATCGTGGTAAGAGCTGCCTTGAAGGTACATCATTCCATCCTTGTCATTTTTTAAGGGACTCCTTACTCTTTCCAGAAACTGCTGTTGTCTTGGGCTCTTCCTTGCTCCTTCCTGCCTGTGCTGAGCTGCAGCAATCACACCCTGAGCAGCGCTGCTTGCCCAATCTTTGTATTCTTCTTGCTGTTGCTGGTATATCTGTCTCTTGTAATGATACTGGGAATTTAAACTCTGGTTAGGGTCACCAAAAGGATGAGGCCGAGCATTTGTGTGATATGCTGAAGCCAGAGACGGGCCTTCTGAATTCTGAGGGTAAGCAGAATGCAAGGAACCCCTGTTAACTCTTTCAGATAGTGTCATGTGTGGGTTCATGTGATGCAGATCTGCTCCTGGGCCTCTGCTTCTGCCTGGTGACATTTTCAGCTTATCAGCAAGATCCTGGTATTGAGAAGGTGATTTACCCCTGCTGCTTCCAGTTCTGCCAGGTCCTCGTCTCATCTGTGTCGGTCTGCTGTCCTGCTGGGGAATGTAGTCTGGAGCAGCATCGGAGATCGCAGCTCCAGGGCTAGCATTGCCTCGGAAAGATTCATGCTTGATGCCAGCAGGATGACAATGGTCTCCTGGTTTTTTATTATTGAGACTAGCTGAGCTCTTTGACTGTTCAAAATCTTCTTCTTTTATTGGCCCACTGTGAGCTTTCATCTTTGTTTCCATGGATACTAAACCACCAGGGAGTATTACTGACTGGCTCAAGCCAGGGGCAAGACGTTCACTCCTGCCGCTTCTGGCCTCAGGACCCATGTGCCCCATTGGGTGAGGGCCAGGGTCTCGGACAAGTTGCCTTAATGGAGATATGTCACAGATCACGGATCTCCTCTCTGAGAGCGCTCCCCCTTCATGGGCAGAAGACTGAGACTCTATATCAAACTTCCTAGCAATAGGGTAATCAGCTAGATTTATCTGCTTCATGTCAGAAGCTATGCTGCTAGACTTCCTATCCCAGGGACCCCAGTGAGGGCCTTCCAGGAGAGACCCCATGCTCTTATTTAAGAGGCCCCTATTGGCCAACTCATTGGTCTGACTAATTAAGATATTGGGCCTCATGGCTCCCTCCAAACTCCCAGCCATCCCAGAATGCTCCTGTGCGTTCCTAGAATACCTTCTGTCTGGATGATGATGGTACCCCTGTAAGACCTCCTGTAGGAGGCTAGGAAACTTCTCATTCCGGCCTTTGCGCTCACTGTGCACCGGAAAATCCCCTTTTTCTTGACCAGAAGGGTACTGCGGAAAGCCACCGATACTTCTCTGTATGCCAGCTGCTACGTTATCCTTGTAACTGTATCTTAAACTGCCAGGAGATTTGGAAGGTTCTGTTCTTGCAGGAAAATTTGGCCCAACAACTGTATGACCAGGCTGGCTGTTCCCCTCTCCATTATGGTTAGTGTTATCTCCACTTTTGCTCCCTTTACTCCCTCCTGGAGCCTCTGGCTGCGTCCCTGCATGCCCAGCCTCTTTTGCCCCACTAGCACTAGCTGGTGCTGGAGTGGCTGTGGAAGCATCATCCTGTGCAGGTTTATCTTGTCCACCTGACTTTTCTACCCTTCCTGTCATGGCTTCCCGGGAGACAATCACCCCAACTGCCTTTTCGTTCACTTTGGGGGCATTTTCCACAGCCACCACAGCTTCCTTCCCATCAGGGGAGGCCGCATCTTCCCTAGCTGCGGGGCTGCTGCTGCTGAGTTTCGATGGCTCATTCTGAGAGCCTTGTGCTGGTGAGGAGTTGGATCTCTCTAAGTTACCCCCTTTGTAAGTGGTGTCTGAGCTGGTGCTCTGGCCACTCAGCTGTCTCACCCTTTCCCCATGATCCTCTGAACTACTGGAACAACCACCGTCAAGGGACTCTGCCAGGGGAGACTTGAGTTGCTCCTCTGCCTGGGAGGAGCCTTCTGAGTTGGTGCAGCTGTCAGCCTTCTTTGAGGAGGATGACCTTTTGGAGCTTTTTTTCTGAGGTGCCAAGGCATCCGAGAGCAACATGTGCTGCACTGTGTTGGGCAGATTGGCCACCTGAGAACTTAGAGCACTCAGGCTGCTCAGCCCTGGATCTGTGAGCCTTTTCTCCTGCAGTCCTTCCAGCCCAAACCCCTTGAATCCCCCCGCATGAGCATTGGGGCTTGGCATCATAGATGGTGTAGGACTAAGCTGAGGCATCATCTGCAGGATTCGGTTTCTAGAACCCATGGACATGTTGCCTTGCCCACACTGGAGATTTTCTCCACCTGGCATGAGCGGAGAAGGGGTAGAGCTGCAGCTTGGAGACTGAACCACAGATGCAGCGGGAGATGGATTAGAGATTGGACTGAAGTTTTGGTGGAACTGCATCGGTGACCTTACAGGAACTTCTGTCTGGCTGTACTGTCCCACTTGACTTTGAAGAGAGAGCTTGCTGGCAGCATTTGAATACTGCATTACGTGCTGAGGTGGGTGCTGTTGCTGCTGTCCCTGCTGCCCACTCTGTGGCAGCTTGGACTGCTCAAAGCCTTTCATCGGTTGAGTCTGAAAGCTGTAGTTCGACTGAGTCCCATAAGCCTGCGCGTTGGAACCCACGGCATGGCCTTCATACTGCGACCCGGAATTCACGCTGTAGCTTCCATCGTAATTCTGTCCTGACTGGCCAAAGCGCTTAGGTGGAGGAGGATGATGAAGGTGGCTGATAGTGTTGGCTGAACTGACCCACTCGTAGCTGGTACCCAGAGGCAGAGGAAGGCAGGGTGGATGGACGCTGCATGGGCTGCAAGTGGGAGGTGCTAGAAGCAGACTGGCTGGAAGCCTGGGGTAAAGGCTGATGAGACTGGTAGATCTGCTGTCTCAGCTGCTGCACCTGCTGCTGCTGGCTAGAAGCCTGCTGCTGATACTGGGCACTCCCTGGAGAAAAAGGACCAGTATAATCCTGCTGATAGTGGGATACACCCCCAAGGGACGAGTGCTGCGTTTGAAACTGGCCCACATGTCCCTCGCTCCCATACTGACTCCCAAAGCTACTCCCTTGAGGGGGCCCATAGCTCTGTACTGGTCCGGAAGGCCTGCGCTGAGGCGGCTGCTGCCCTCCCGACGCCACTGGATCTTTGTTGGCAGCCATGTAGTAAAACTCTCCTGCTTCTTTTCTGAAACCTTGGTAGCTCTGATGGCCAGAGCTCTCACCAGGCATCGCTGTAGAGGCTCCTGCTGCTCCACGACGTCCACTGCCAGCACCTCCTCCAAAGCCCTGGAACATCTGGGCCTGCTGGCGGGGGCTGAACTCTTCCAGTCGGGATGAGCCGTGCACTTCCTGCGGGTAACTCTGCTGGTTTCCGTGGTAACTACTTTGCTCCCGAAAGGACTGCATGCTGTTCAGCAGCAGAGCGGCAGCTCGAAAGCCCTCCTAAAGGGGAAAAAAAGAAAGAGGAGAAAAAAAAAGGTATAGCAACCACCTCTCCCAGTCACACCACCACCACCGCTCAATTTCACTGCTCATTTAATAGCAAATAAAATTTAGGATTTGGCTCCTACTTCCCGCTACAGCGATGTGTATCCCCTCTCCTTGCAACTTTCCAACCTCCTAGGTAGTGCATGTAAGAGGAACCACCCACTCCCAAGAAAACACGAGTCGGTAGCCTACTACCAGTTGGAGCACATTTTCAGCGTTAGTATTTGCCCGCAGTCATTTACTAACTGGGTCTGTTTACATGCCCCCGAGGAAAGAAACTTCCAACGATATTTTGCAAAGCAAAGGAGAACAATCCTCACCCTCCAGCTATTCTCTATGGCTAATACCGGGAGTAATCAAGTATTCTGCTACCATGGTGAAAGATGCAACAGTGAGAATCCTGCAACACTCCCAAACCACTCTTGGATCTGCTGTGGGAATGACATGCCACATTTCACTCTGGGAAAGATCTCTGTCAGAAAACACTCAAGATACCACTGACCAAAGCTCAAACCAAGATACTCCGATGAACAGGATCTGTGGGAACCTGTGGAAGAACTGGCACCAGCATGCTCAGAGACATCTGCTCCACGCTCTGTTCCTGACTGCTCCAGCAACACGTTTAGGTGAAAGCCAACACAGCAAGACGACACGTGATATTCCCTCCTCCCGGCCCCCATGTCTGCTTTGTTTTGTAAGATGGAAAGGCAGAACAAGTCCACTCTACTTGAGCAAAAAGGTTTACAACTTCATCCCGTAGGACCATCATATTACCTTGAATGAAACAACTGAAAACATTTGCCAGCTAGAATATATATTCTGGAATACCATGTATGATCATCTACACTTACATAATCAACTCCTAACTAAATGCACTTCAGGAGGCTCTCCTACGTACTTCAATCTATTATTCAGCTTGTGGAATCATGACTCATCCGCAAGGTCTGGACCACAGCTGCAAAAATGTTTGGGAACCCTGGCTAGTCCCCGTGTAAATACCCAACACATCACTAGACTCATTAAGGGAAGTCTGGTAATGAACAAGTATGTGCATATACACTGTGTCATGCCCCTCCCGCTCTTTAATTTAAATAAATAATATCAATAAACAGATGCAAAAGCATCTCATTTCTGAAACACCTTGTTGCTTTCTCTTCCTGAAAACAAACTGGATAAAGCCACCTGGAGAGACTCCTTCCGTTAAATCAATCTGAAGACAATGCTCACATTTTTCCAGGAAACGGAACCCTGACTCAGACTTCCTGGAAGACTGGCCTGCATTCTATCTTCTCATTTAGCCATGTTTTGTGCCATGTGTTTTGTTGCCACCTCCAACTGAACCCACTCAAAATTAAAGTCTAGTTTTGCACTTAAAAGTTTTGTTCCAGCAGAAGATCAGAGAGTCCCAAGAGAACAGGCATCCAAACGAGGAGATGCAAGCGATGTCTGGCATCACGCCCTTTTCCCATCTGCCTCTCAAGATCTTTTTTTTTTAAATTAATATGTATGTTATACACAGAAGGCTCTAACTCCACCATTAAGGTCTTTCAGAAAGGCACCCTAGTTACGTCTGGGTTTCTACTATCTGCTTGTGCACGCAGGGGTACAGAACACTCACAATGCAACGCACATCTCCACGATCCCTCTCTGCTAACTCACAGGCATCCTTGCGTGGCAGCCCTGGTTCGTGCCGCCTGACATCCACAACAGTATGGCTGAAACATTCACTAGAACGAGAAGGGAACTTTCAAATTGCTGATCGTTCCAATTCTGCCTCTCCCCTTCTAGGGAGTCAACTTAATTGCTGTTTTCATCTCACACTCCAGTATTTAAGTGTCATGCTGTAAGAGAGGTCTGCTGTTCTGCTGAACGTCCACTTTTTTACCATTCTGAAGACTACATATATCACATGAATAACACTTCTCTGTGTGCCACACTGTGCCGATCTGCCCAGTCTGTGTTTCTTATGGATAAACTCCTCCGTCTTTTCTGAGTTATGCCCTCTGATGTTTCACCAGTTTGAAGCTTCTGCCCTCAAAATTGGGATACCTAATGCAAGCTTCTTTCTACCTTTTTGTAGGACTTGCTCTTAAGGCGAAAAATGGGACAAAAAAATAAAAGCAGGAAAGAAAACATACATGGAAGTTATCAAACTAAAGGCAAGCAAACATGCACTGTAACTGGCAGATGTTAGAAAGCAGCTCCTCTAGATAAGCAGTTTGAGGCTTTGCAATCAGCAACATTCACATGGTACGGAGACTGTGTGCACAGCCCGGCACCCACATGCTCTGCACTCTCTTCTCAGGAAAGCAACATTTCCATCCTCATCACAGGCTCAGTCTCTCCCAGAGTATCAGACTAATTTTTAAGTGTGACTTTAGTAACACTTACTTTGCATAGTCTCAGGAAGCCTGTTCTGCATTACATCATACAAAAACTTCCATCACCAATGATACTCACTCTTCCACAATAATACTAGAAAAGGCTTGAACTTTAACAATGCTAAGAAACATTCTTAACACTGCCTCACTATAAAAAAGAATCATTTTAATCACATAATGGAACAAAACCAGCACAAGATGCCATAAAATACCTTCAGGAACAGAGATCCAGTAAAGGTCAACCTGAGGCACAAACTCCTATCCACCATAATCTCATGCAATCACATAACATTTATAAAGTCCAGAAGATAGACATGCTAACTCAAACCACGAAGAACATCTTTTTCTCTCTCAATATTTTTTTTTTTTTTTTTTAATCTTGGATTTCACCCTGACAAAGTTTTTGTCAGGAGGACCTAAAATTGCTGGTGCCCTAAGCAAATGCTTTCTTTTTTCAAGTCTCCTACACAACAGCACTTGCTTTGGATATCTCACAAAGAGCTTAACTTGAGTAACACAACCAGTAGCACAGCAGCCAAAGAAAAAAGGCATTTCATTAATAACAGGAGTAAGAAAAGTTAGGAGGTGCTTCAATCCATTACATCATTAATAACTTAAGACATATAGCACATTTCCTGTCATTAATGTACTATAAATACAAGATTATTACAATTACTGTTGGAATAGCCTTTCTTAGTAACAACAGTGCTGTAAAGTGCTTAGATCAAGTGCTATGTTCTCAGCAAAACCACAAGATGGGCAAGCCTTGTTAATAAAATACATTCAGACAGATAAGACCTTCAAAATCTACCTAGATCCATAGGAAAAAAAGAAAATATTTATTTTATTAAATTACTACTGAAAGCCTTTAAAGAAAACATTTTCAGCTGGCACATACTCCTCCACATACAGAAACTCAAGAGGATGATCCACCAGCTGGCGACTAGAAGCTACAACACAATCTTCTAGAACTCCGTAACGGTGGTACACATCCATAATCCCACCCCAGCAGAAAGGGCAAAGTCCCACCTCAAAAAAGGTGCTGCATCAACAGCCACAAATTACACATGTTTCTAGTGTTTTCCAAGACACCCAATAAAACATTCAAAGCCTTCCCCATTTATTCAAAGGAAAGGTAAGGTTCTGGCACAGGTCTTCCTACTCCAGTGTCACACCTACACTCTCACTACACGTGCACCCAGCTCCATCATTCTCAATTGTTTCTAGCCTGTAGCCGTAGAGCCATCCAAGCACAACCATGCAGAGACCACAGACTAAATTCACTAGTCAGAGCAGCTTCACTCTGCTCCAACACTTCTGATTCTTCCCCAATCGCCCAGTAATCAAAATTTGCCTTCAACCTGGGAGGAACAACAGAAGCATCTTCAAGCCTTGGTGACGAAACCACTGCACGTAAGTCACGAATGGAGAAAAGCAGTAGGTCCTCTTACCCATCTCTCAGACTTGGTGAAACATCTGAAGTTATTTCAGGCTGTCCTTCCACCTACCTTCTCCATTAACTTCTTTTTCAGCACATCTACAAGGCAGATTTTGTTTCTTGTTTAATCGTCAGAAACAGCCTTGTAGAACAACTTTGTTGACACAGGCTCCTCAGAATATGGAGCTACTGCATTCTGACCCTACTGTGAGCATGATTATGAAATAGTAGTCAACAGCACGTAAGCATCTTCCAGCAGTTCCTACATGTATGTGAGACTGCTTCCAACCACTGCTGATTAGCAGGGTTCATCAGTCCTCCCGCACCAAGATTACTGCGTGAAACGACCTTCCGCAACATGCTGGGCTACAGGATTTTTTCATCTGTATAAATCTTTAAAACTTTTTTTGCCCCAGTTATCAAAGACTGGACAAATACAGGCCAGCTGCCCAGACTGCCCCACAAAGCACTGCTGCCAGAACAGTAACGCAGCACTACAGACAGCTCAAAAACAAGGGAGCTAAAAACCAAAACACTGGGGGGATATGCTTAATTCGTAACGATAAGCCTATAAAGGAGCAAACGAAAGCAGCATCACTTAATTCTGTAGGAGGTAAGCGAGGTCTTTCTGCTTCGTTAAATTTTCTTTAGATCTGGGTTGACTACTGCGACCCATCTGTGCAGAGAACTCTCAGGCAGCAGTCAAATGCAATATATATTCAGTGATCTGTCAAAGACCTCTCACTTCCTAGCATGCTTATCAGGAAAGAAAATGTAGTTACAGGCAGGTGACAAACAGTAAGACAGCATTTTCCATAGTCAAAAAATGTACACGAGCAAGTGGGGCTTTTTATAGAGTGTCCAGGCTTCCGATTAAGTAAGTTTATTTACTAAATGCTGTGCAAAAAAACAGATATACAAAAAATTCTGTTGTCACAACCATTTTTGTCCTTCCTCACTGCATCTCCTTAAAGTTGTAGAGCGCAGCCACAACCAAAAAATACCCCACCAAGCCAGAACTTGCAACTGTCAGCAACTCAGTAGTGCAATTTGCAAGTAAACAATCCCCAGGATCTGAATTATGCCTGAAATAAAGGAAGAAAAAAGACTTCCACACGCTGCGTATAACTGCCATGGT